GTTTGCTGTTTCAGAAATAAGAGTAATTTATATATATATATATATATATATATATATATATATATATGTGTGTGTGTGTGTGTGTGTGTGTGTGTGTGTGTGTGTGTGTGTGTGTGTTTATTTATGTATGTATGTATTTAAACATGTTACTTAAAATGTTTATATCCATGTCAAATTCAATTTTCTGACTTCTTTAATGTCATTTTAGTTTCAACCACGTGTCCTGAACTATCATTTTACAACCCAGATTCTCACTCCATTTTACTATGCATGAACCTTCTGTCTTTGACCGTTATAATTTTTGCTTCTTTTGTTTGATTATAAGTAATAAGAACTGCCAATTAAATACATTTTCCTTTCAACTCTTCCTGTTTCTGTCTTCATTACTTTCCTCTTCATTCTTCTCATATTCTTTTGAACACAGCCTGAAATTAAGAAACCATCACATTCTTCTTTCCTCGTATATTTGATTTTATTAATTTATTTTTCTTGTTTGTTTTCTTGTATACTGCGGCTCTGCAAAACCTCAGTGTCCTACGCGAATAAGTTGCTTCCTAGAAACGTATGGAGCAAGTCAGCTAAACTATCAACACCAACCCACTCACGGCGAAAGCCAAAAATTGATAAATGGTACCTGCTAACTCTTCGGGTTTACTATCCGACTTTATGAATGTTATCTTAATTTTCTTGGTTTGGTACCTGAGAAATGAGAAAACAAATGCTTCACAAACCTATTTCTGTAAATACAGGGTGCGATGGATAGATTGTCGTCTAAATTTTATACGCAAAAAACGAAAATAATACTGATATCTCATTTTAAAAGATATATTTACCAAAATGACACAAAAATATTTCGAAATACTAAAGAGTAAATTTATTCAATAAAATCGCCATTGGTTTCAACCACGGCATCCACACAACTTCAAAATTTCCTACAACTCTTCTGGACAATCTCCTTTTTTAAGTTGGTGAATGCTGCCATAATCTTTGCTTTCTGTTCATCTTTAGTGTTACAAGGAGTTTTGCTGGTCTCACACATACTAATCAAAGGGGTTTCGGTTAGGGGAGTTAGGTAGCCAGATGTAAGGGATGGTGTGGTAGCGAACGATGTCTGATACCCTAACTGGATTCTCCTGCTTGTGTGGCACGGTGCAGAGTCCTGTTGTCATATATAGGGTCTTCCAGTAGTCACCCTCTTGACCCAAGACAGCACTAGCTCCTCAAGGCACTTGATGTAGGCCTCCGTGTTGATTCTGAGGCCATCACCAACAAATTTGGGAGTTCTTTTCTTATCAGAATGATAAGAGTAAGTTTTCCGAGCTGCCGTACCCTTGTAATCACCATTAGACTCATCCAACTCTTTCCAAATCCTCTGCTCTGTTTGACACCCAAACACTCTGAAATGTTCATATTAGAGTTTCTGTTGCGAATGTCAAGCAGTGCAGCATGCCGTTTCCAAATTTCTGGATGGGTGAATTGCGTCATGTTGCTCTTTTTCTCACAGATGGTTCACAACTGACCCTACTATACTGTGCAGTTGGCAAAATCAAAAGCAAACCGCGCATGCGCGAAATTACAAACATAAAATGGCAAGAATTTACCCATTGCACACTGAATACTCACTTAAAAGACGTTATTAGCAGATATTAAGCTCCATTCAAATCACTTCGTATAAAATTCATTTTTATAATTATTTTCAAATAAATAATAAGTAACATTCTATATACTCGACCTATTTCTCGTGAGAAATCGGATCCTTTGGGATGAATACGAATGCAAATAAAACACTGGTAAATTGCAAAATGAACTACAATTGCTTTCTTCTCTAAATTAGATCATGTTACTTGCATTACGCTAACAATTTCTGCTAAAATGCGTAGTTTTTTTTCTGATTTATAATAAGAAACATACATAATTCCGTAGATTATTACAAAAAAAATAATTTTCAAATTAATAAGGAAAACTACTCAATAATAATAATAATTTAATATATAAGGATTTATCTTCCTTTATAAATGGTTTCATGATAAGGTCGACAATCAAAGTGGAAGCAAATGATAAATGCACTTTATTATTATGATTATTTGGAATATTGGAATGGATACTGTTTTGTTCAGTCTAGCTACGATGAGCCATTTTTGCTATTTTATGGTAACAGCTACACCAGAGAGAGTGAATCATTATATCTATAAGCATATTTTTTACAATAATGTTCACCCTGTACAGGGCCAGAGAGCCACTCAAGGTAGAAGTTTACAGAATAAAAGGCACAGTTTATGTGGATATGTGGGGAAGATAACGATTAACCCTAGATATGAACAGCTTAAGATTGTATTGATGGGGAAGCATCCTCTTGGGAATCGGTTTCACAAAGCAGCGGTTTGTGGGAAGAAGCTACACGAGTGGAACTTACACCTCAACGTAATACGAAGGGAATTTAGGGTGTGGTTCACTACAATGTGTGTAGCATGGTGGGTCTTAGCCGTGAAATTTAGAACCAGTGGAACTAAGAAATGTAGTTTGTCTGAACACCTTCCATATAAATATCGATAGAATAGTGAGAGGCTTGCAATGTTTCGTCTGTATGAAAGGAGTTGTATAGAGGAAAACAATTTATCGTCCACAAAGATGTGGATATGCGTTTGGACTCTATCAAAACTGGAACGAAAAGACTGGGCAGCTCCTGCCCATAATGGTAGCAGATCTGACTCTTGTAAAAACAGATGATAACAGGAGGAGAGGTACTTACAGCGGCGGAACATGGAACCGAACATCTTTCCAAGATCTTTAGCGATGGATCGTATATACTAGTTTCACTGGAGTTTTGGGCTGAGTTTGTCCCAATAGGCGCTCAAGGTAAGGGCCTAACCTGAAGGAACATAAGTTCAACGCAAATGATGATAGTTCTGTGTCAGATCGGCGATGATGGAATATCACTAGTTTGGTTTTCCAGGCATTGAATGTTCAGATAGTTTTCCCCTACTGACCTGTTAAAGGTAGGTCAAAGTACAGATCAGCTTCCAGTTTCTCGTCTTCTATTATTTTGGAGGTGCACCTATATAACGTTGGCATCATCAGCATAGATATTCACAAGTGATTGGAGTATATCTTTATATAAAATAGAAAGAGGGTTGAACCGAGAAGCGAACCCTGGAAAACGCCTGCCTTGAACGCTAAGGTGTCGGAGGATTGGCCGTTAAAAACTCCTTTCAAGAACCTACCCGTTAGGAAGAACTTTATAATTGTGAATACCCTTCCAGTGATTCCATATCCACAGAGCTTTTGTGCATCAATTCTTTATGCTACACCTTGTCAAACGCCTTTGAAATATCTAATGCGATCGTCCTTGAGATGTATTTGTTACCTAGTGCCTCACTGATTGTGTGTGTAATGACAGGATATCAATTGTGGATTGGGGCGATCGAAACCCGTACTGCTTGTCGCTCAAGAGGTTGTTCCTATTGAGGTGACCAGCAACATTCTTATTGATTATAGCTTCAAAGAGTTTAGAAATGACACTGAAGAGACTGATGGATCTATACTGAGAGGGGGTAAGTGCCCACCCGTGTTCTTGAAAACCAAACAATTACTTGACACCTTCCACAAGCTTGGAAAGGTTTTCTCCTTCAAGCAGCAGTTAAATAATTTCGCTAAGATCGGGGATAACTCCAGGTTGATATTCTTAAGGACAACCACTGGGATTTTGTCTGGACTTCTTAGGTTCAAGACGTTTTTTTCTCGCTTTCTTCTATCACCCTATTTAGGCGGTCCTGTACTTTTATTTCCGAATCAGCCATCAACACAGTGCCATCTTTGTATCATATACTGTTAAGATTATACCCAGCAATAATAAATCCTGGTAGGATCTCCTATTCCCTTAGGATAATGTCATTGTAGAGGTTGAATAAATCTGGAGAGAAGATATATCCTTGTTTCACACACCTTTCTATTTTTGTATAGTTACTCAATTCATTTTCTTTACATATGCACGTGCGCTTGGTTGGGCCAAAAACTTTTCAAAGCCTTTCATAAATATATTTTTGGTACCCATAAAAATGAGGAGATAAAGTGCAGATCGACCCTTCTACCTAGAATCAATTTATCCCTTGGCTCAGAATGTGGTATCTGTGCACTATATGAAAGGTTTTACACGCTTCAGTTAACTATAATTGACTTCTACCTACAAGTAACCGGAATCCAAAGTCTCATATGTAACATGTATACTGTTGGAAATTAATTTTCTTGTAAATGATTGCACACACGCATACCCACACGCATACTTACACACAAGCAATAGTTTTCGAATTTCACCAAATACATTGACATGTTATTTTTAATTTAATAAATGGCATTAATTGGCGAATGTGTTAAAAGATTAATCGCCCTGTTTTTTGTGAGTATAAATGCCAAATAATGTTTAAATATTGAGTTGGCCAAAAATTTCGTTCGCATATTATGTATAAAATTTACTTAATAAACCGACCAAACATTTTAAGCAACGCAATATATTTCAAATATTATATCAAATGAAGCTTTTCTCTGATTAATCATATAAATTATTTTAACTATTCCCTACATACAACGCGAGAAAGCACGTGCGATACCTTGCCCACGTCAGCCGCCAACCAGGGGAGGTAACACAGTTTCGGTGGTTAAAGCTAGACTAAACCAAATTCAGAGAGATGCATCCGTAAAATAGAATCGTCCAATGTGATTTGACAATAACAATGACGTCATAATGAAAGCATCTGAATCAAGAAAAAACACACACAGCTGCTGACAGTAAACAAAGCCTGACATACTGTTTCGATACAATGAGAATTTGGGGAGAAAACTAATATTTAAACAAATTTATATGGTGTAACCATACAACTGATATTTCTATCCCAAGCACTCACGTATCTCAGCAATATTATTGCATTAAACAGATTACTCAAAAGTAGTCCGCAAAGAAGAACTACTTTCGTTTAAAACAAAGAAATAACAACAGCTACAAAACCATGGCAAGATCATTTAATTCTTACTGCGTTCGTTGCCGCCGAAAAACGCCGTCTTTCAACTCAAAAGCAGTGACATTCCGCAACAAGAGGCGCGCTATTAGATCACATTGCGCTTATTGTCAAGTGAAGAAATTCCGACTTATTGGTCAAGGCGGGGCGATGCCAAATCGCTCCAAGCAGCGCAAACGCAGCAGCCGAAAAGGAGGTAAAAAGAGGAGGAGGAGGAGGAGGGCAAGGAATTAATTTCAATGAAAATTGGATCTCAGCCCAAATGTTCAGTGTTCAAAATAGTGACACTCGTGTTTCTTGATTTTTAATAAATTCATATAAATCTATTTTTCAGTCTTTGTCATCGTCTTTATATACTCTAAGGTTATTATCCACTATTTCCCACATAACTGATTTTAAAAGTTCACAGTTATTCAGAATTGGGTGACCTCACTGTGTCTCACTATCCATATTGTTATCCGAATCACTCATATCTTCACATCTAGTGCACCGCGTTGGCTGCTAAGCCAAACTTGCATTACTATTATGCAATTGTGTGTACACGCGAATATATGAGTATATGCTTATTCAGTTCTGCAATACGCAAAAGTGTTGATAGAATATAAAAATAATACTAAAAGTCTATATAATTCTAATATAAGAATGTTTACGAATATATCGGTATCCATGTAGCATTTGATTAAACTCAACAGTAAAGAGATAAAACTCGAAACCGCATATGGAAAACCCTTTGATCTAAAAAGTTCATCCGATATAAGTCAGCATACAAAAGGAGAATGACAATGAATCTTGTATCCAAATATTCAATTTCAACTCTGGTTTTCGGTGCTGGTCGAACTCTCTACCTCTAGGCAGAGAGGATCCCCAGACGAGGCTATGTCGAAGGGCAGAGTCTCGTCTCGGGAAACAGCTATCCAACCCCGGTTTATACAGGAATTTTTGGCCGAGCCTACGGGCTTGGATTACCCCACTTTAAAACTCGGCCTTGTGCTACATGTTACCTTGTGGGGAAAATATTGAAATATTCAATTTCATTTCAGTTGAAACTTAGTTTTTGAAAAGTGTCTTGGAAACCGCAAGTTCCACGCGTGGTAATACATCTGACGAAGAATGAAACTGTTAACAAAAAAGAAATTGGTACTAAACACGGAACCAAGATTTAAATAATAGAAATATATATTTCATCACAATTTACGCTTCTTGTATATCTTAAAGGAGAATCTGTTTGCTTTTTTTAAATATAGATTTGTTGCAAACTGAATTACAACCGATGAGGAAGTGGAGTGAGGCTGGTCTACACTAATTATCCTAAACCAAGGTAATCCGATTCACATTTATTCCTTACAATTTACTTATTCACTACAAGAACTTATCCATCGCCACTCAATCCACCATATACAAATACACCCATGATATAAAAGTTTCATGTCTTTTTTTGTGGTGGGAGGTATCATTTTTTTTATAAATAAATATAAAAATGTAATTACATTAAATGAGTGGCGGAGGGGATGAACCTACAAACGAAACAAAAATTTAGCAAGAAATTCAAACTAAATGAAATATGTTAGTAGCACCCGTTCACCGCACAAAAATAAGAGAGTCCGATAAGCAGAATTACGAAGCTTGCTCATACAGGAGAGGGAAGGGCAAAATAAATTACGGAGTGGGGAAAATATCAATGGTTAATCCAGTCGAGATGAAAAGGGGAAAAAACAAACTGGGGAGGTTGCGATCATAACAAAAGGAAATACCGGGAGCAGGCCAGGAAGAACAATTACTCACATTAACAAAGAGTGTCTAGATTTATTAGGGCAGGGGTCCGTCAGGAAACTGCCTCGTTGGGTCAAAAGACGGTTTCAATAAAGAAAATTAGGTTGGCCCCATTCACACGAATGAAGCTCGTGACTTGCACTCACCTTTCACTGAAATCTGCTGTAAAGAAACGCTTTGCATCGAGTCCGATCTTCATCTTGAGTTGATGCCCTAAGAATCTGACCAGATCCTGATAAGCATAACGATTCGCTCCATCCACGACGTACACATCAGCATTCTTGCCACGGACAGTAGCGTCAAAAACACCATCTGTTTCACCCCTGAACACAATGGCGACATAGTCCTAGAACGGGCACACCTGAGGACAGTGGTAGAAGGCGTGCGAAACCGTTTCTTCTAGACCAAAGTCAGACCGATTTCAATCGGGCATATCTACCAAGCCCCCTCTAAAGACCACGTCATTGATAATGCGTTCAGAATCAATCACCAGGTAAGCTAAAATTCAGGGTTATTTAGGTAATTCGCTGAAAGGTCACTGGATCGAGGAGTCGCACGCATACTCGTATTTTTTTTTTTTTTTTTAGTGTAACTGACATCTACCGAGTCAATAATAAAGAAAATGTGACCTTCAGCTGGTTTCGAACTTGCGCCCCACGTATATAGAGAAAATTATCGTATAGCATAGCGTGCTTTTCGATCACTTTTCGACCACGCAGCCACAAGGAACTTTCACGGCGAAACAAGACACAATTACTCTTTTTCATGTAAAAATATTGAAAAATATTGAATATAGAAGTTTTATTATGTGCCCCAATTATTCATCTATCTATTTTTGTTCTTCACTTTTAAATGCCAGACATTATGAAAATAACTTTTAGACTTTGATGCGTATGAGTTGATTATTAAATAGACAGAAAAACACTTTCAGAACTTGACAAGATAAAACAAAGGTAAAAATTAAAATGAATACATAAAAATGAAAAATACAAAAGAAAGAAAGGAGAAGTTGAAAGTAAATTATAAGAAAGAAAGAATTAATATATTGCAAAGGTTATATGATGTCCCAACACCAAAAATTGAAAAACTAGAAAAGAATGAAAGAAAAAATGTACCATGCACGAATTTGCAGTGAAGAAAGCGTAAAAGAATTTCTGAAGTTGCACATCAGGTTCATCCACAATTATTTATAGACATATAAACACTCATACCTGTTTCTTTTATTGTACATTGTAAAGTAAACGTAGATTATTTTGAAACATGTGAAGCGAATAGATGAATGAATAAACATTCCACATATATTTACATCAATATAACCCTAACCAATCCCGTTTTTGCCTAGATCCTCCTATCTACAATGATGAAACCAATGACCAATCACTGTACTCTTCACCATTGTATGCCATTTCAATCGATACTACACCAGTAATGATTCACAGAGAAAGAAACAACATTCCGTAAACTTTGGTGTTAAATCTCATGGTCAGCTCTGTCATGATGTTCAATTCACAAAAAATGATCTGTTACACAATGTCAAAGATCTCTTAAAATGGTATTTATTTGAAATCTACTCAGCAGTTTATTATTTTGTGTAATCAGTCAAATGTAGTGAGTTGTTTATAAACCAGATGAAAAAAGTCAGAAGTAAAAAAAATAAAAATAAAAAACATTCCACAAGAATCTGCAGAAACGACTATCGCTCTGGTTTTGTCTTTCTCATCTTGCTTATAACAGACGAAAGTCATTTCGAACAAGATAATCACTAGCTATGAATCATGAATGCATTACGAATATTCAAAACGAAGAAAATTATAGCTTTCAATATCGCAACTTAAACGGTGTATTCTTTGGTGAGATTCTAGATTAATTTATTAAAAGTTGCCGAAAATTGAATGGCGTTGCAGTGAATAACGGGTACTTCTAAATGACACAGAAGATAACGTTTTTTGAACAAGATAGCTGTTGTCAATTTTACAGCATGATAACGACCATCCTTGTGTGGTAGATACGGCGAAGCAAACAAACAAAACCTGTAGCATTAGTTTTGCATAAAGTGAAACAGGTGATAATCTGGTTAGCGAGTTTGAGATAATGAAAAATGCCTTAAAGAATACATCGAATCAAATATGGAATCGTTCTTTTATGATGGAGCACAGATTTGGCCCGAAATATGATAAAAACTTTTAGAAAACCAGAAAAATACTTTTTGATAACTGAATAATGATTATATGATTTTGTCAATGATTTCTTGAAATATAATCATGGGGAAAATGGCGGAAGTGATTATTATTGTAATGTAATATCGGATAATCATGTCAACATAATATGTTAGTATAGAACTATACACGGTGATTTAATTATTTTCTTGTGATAATAAAGATGATGCTTAGAAGAACAAATATAATGAATTCAGTGATGGTCACAATTAAGACATTGTCTAAGTGTAACAAATGTGTAGAAAAATCATTTCTTTGTATCAGTCTTATAGATTGTTACTGATGTTTCTTTAATTTTATTTTGCTGTTTTTATGGCAATGAACTTATCGTTAAAAAATGAAATGAAAACATATTCACACAAAATTAATAATAATGATAACGTTTGATCTAAGACATTCGAAGAGTATTACATCTAATACTACTGGATAGGTTACTATCCCCCAGATCATAGGTATTACTTATCTTGTTCAAAATTACTTTCGTCTGTACTGAGCAAGAAGAGAAAAATAAAAGCTAAGGGACACTTTGAAAATAATACTCTTCCTGTTTACTTTCATATGCAAGAAGTACAATAACCATTGAACTGAGCAATTTTTCATCTACAAAACAGTATTTTCGACTTAATTACCAGCACTATCTCTCCCGAGTTACCGAGAAACTTCATTTTTAGGGTTGTAAGCTGTGCAGGACCACCGGAACGTGGCTTCTCAAATTCTTCGTTATCATCCCTGCAGAAAAACATTACTCACTGCTCTCAACTTTGCTGACATCCACTATTAGGTCTTCATAAATACTGATGAAACACTTTTGCTTATACATAATTTCATGTTACACGCCATTTTTCCGGATTGCTATCTGTAACAAAGAAAAATTTTCGATTATTATCGGAAAGTTCAACGTCTACTGCCACAACACCAACATCGACCACTGATCACCTCGTGAACCAAAATGATAAAATAGGAAGCATTACTTTCAGAGCTACACTTTTACATCGATAATTCAAAAATATTTTTTATTAACATGAAGAATAATGTAATTATCAGCCATCCCACAGAGAAGTTATAAGACAAAGCATTATAGTGGGAAGCCCATGCATACATGTGATAGAGGGAAAAACCTCCTCAACTCCCTCGCTAATTCCATTTGAGAGCCAAAAGTAACAAGTATTAATCCTGACCCTATCCTTTAAACTCCTTGAAACAAGTCTAGTCATTTTACTTTCAGAAGTTACTTGCATCAAATGTAGGTATTAAAACAGTCTCGAAATTTATTTTCATGTCAAATGCCTTAACAAGTCTCACGCATAGAAGTGTTTATATTACAGTTGACTGGCAGATGACTTTTTTTATCATACGAGAACACAAAGATTAAAAGTAACTTACAATTTCGGTACTATTTGTACAGGTGTGTCATATCAGCATTTAAATATTTTATCAATTATTATTAAAATTGATTTGTATATGTTATCGTAGTTGTAGCATTTTCTTTTGTTTGTTTTTTTTTTAACTAATTGATGCACACGCTCAATTCAAAATACCCGGAAAGTCGCGACGGGATTTTGCTATTTAATAGGTATTCAGGGAACTGATATTTTTCTAATTTTAAAACTTGAAGGTCAGGAATTTTATTATGTATTAATTTGCAACTCAACAATGAACGAAAATTGTACAACTTTATTTTGAAGCTCAACATTCAATTGTGTTGACACAGAGGGTATAACAACGTGAATTCAATGCGAGAAATCAATGATTTGCTATTTGATAGGGCTGTACATTACTTGCAAGATCTGGGAAATCACGTTCAGTTCCCACAGAAGACGCGCTTATTGACAAGCAGAAAAACAAGGAAATTCTATTCAAAGATGCTATTTGCAGTTGATTATGTCTCGAACATCAGTACACCACATTGTGAAGAGGGATTTACACTGGTATCCTTAAAAATCCAGCTGTTTACATATTTAATTTTCAGAGATTTACTGATTTGTTGTACATCGTAATCAAAATTGTGAATAAAATTCCTGAACCTCATGCTTATTTTAAATTATACATGAGTATGTAGAGATAAAATTTATATCCAGTTAAAATGTGCACTCAGATTAAATGGAGAGTTTGAAAACCTAAAATTCTGTCACGGGTGTAAAATTCCGTAAAATTACAAAGAATATGAAGAATAAATCATTGTAAGATGTATAGAATATATGAGAATGTGCATGCAAATGTGTAGCGTTCTGTGAATCAATTTGAACGTGCATGCAATTGTGTAGGGTTCAGTGAATCTATGAGAACGTGCATGCAAATGTGTAGGGATCTATGGATCTATAAGAGTGTGAATGCAAATGTGTAGGTTTCCATGAATATATGAGAATGTGCATGCAAATGTGTAGAGCTAAGTGAATCTATGAGAATGTGAATGCAAATGTGTAGTGTTCAGTGAATCAATGACAACGTGCATGCAAATGTGTGGGCTTCTATGAATCTATGAGAATATGAATGCAAAAATATAAGTTTCCATGAATATATGAGAATGTACATGCAAATGTGTAGGGTTCTGTGAATATATGAGAATGTGCATGCCTATTCCACTAGTATAGATTCATAACGTATGACATTGATAAAATTTTATTGTGGAAGTACTCATGAGTGCAATCATTGCATTTCAGCCAAACTTTACCAGTCGAGAAACAATTTATCATATTTTTGAAAATTGTTCCTTGTACATCAATAACAACTGGGATTGTGTGAGTTTTGAGAAGTTACATCTTCTGAATTTCAATTTTTAGATCCTTTAATTTACTTAGTTCTTTGAACAATTTGACTGAAATATTTGGATCGGCAGGGATTGTTACCTTAATGAATCAGGACTTTTTCCAGGAAATCAATTACGATTATATCTGGCTTATTGACTTTTTTAGGTTCTGGTTGTTTGGGCAGGAGAATTCCATAGCACAGATATATTTTTATTAGATGTTATAAAATTTGGTTTGTGTTAGCACATTTTTCCCCACAGTATTTTTTCATGTACTTTGATTCAGATCATCATTCAGTCTTCTGTAGTTTCCAGGTATCTTTGAAGGCCGATTGTTGTAGTTTTGTAAGACAGTTCTTATTGAAATAATCCTCTGCCTCCTCCGGATCTGTGCACATACAGACGATCAATATCAGCTTTGGGATAACGCATGCAATGGCAAGTGAGAAGCTTCCTCGTTTTGATGTCTGTTCACTTAATGTTAGCTATGGTCCAATTAAATAACTTTTCTCAGTCGAGAGTGATGCTCTCAACGTGCTGATAACCAGACAAAACGAACACAATACTCGACTTCCAGTCGTAGTCAGTCCCCAGAGTATAACTTATTCTACTGTAGCTGTTTTTATATTCTCTTTGGGTCAGCGTGTTACATTCCATTACGATTATTATATTTGTACTTTTCAGATCTGTAGCATTTTGGATATGAATGTGATATAACGATTATCAGCGTAGAAAATGGACCATGAGGGCCAAGTTCAAATTCTAGTCGAGTTTGATGCATACATCTTACTCGAATGCTCTTGATAAGGCATAAAACTATTCGCCTCAAGATCAATTTAGCTATGGGTAAAATAAAATAGCAACTGGGCTGTCTAATCTAAGCAGGGCAGTTAATTGAAAACGGATGAACAATAAATTCAAAACGTAACAAGAAATCACTCCACTTGCTTTATTTATTGAAGAAAAATGGATGTTGTGGAAAGCCACTATTTAGTGGTTTTCAATGAATATCAAGAGAAAACGAGCATTCATAATAGTCAAGAACTCTTTTTAGTATCTGAATTATTTTTAGTAATACTGCTGTCTGATTTCAAATATTTCCGAACACTTCGCAATTATTGTACCCTATAATAATAGTATAGACTTCACCTTCATGTTCAACAGTTTTGTCAATTCTCGAATTTCTTATGGATTTTTCCAGCTTTTCATTCTCTTTTAATTTTGCTCTGTGGACTTCTAGAGCAGCGACATCCATTATCAGGCAAATGTTTACAATGACTATACCTGGTGTTCCAGCCTGGGTGATCCGTTAGTGCATTACGTGTCGAAAATATTAAATTTTAAGCCAGTAACAAGATTGATGAAATAAGGAAAAGTCGATTACATTTACGCATAATGTAAAAAATCAAAACATTTCATTTCCATTACAAATAACCAAACATAAATTAAAATAACATTGAAGGGCAGAAACACATTTTCAAAGAACAATATTACCATGTGGATGTAAAAAAAAAACAGGTAAGTTCCCGAACACATGTAAAGAAATGCATTAGTATTCGATATTGTTAATTTACATAAAAAGGGTAAATACCCGAAAAGCTCCAAAGATAGACAATTAGATAATAATTGAAACGATACTCACTGGGTGCCCCTTACTTTCGGCCTTGTGCCACATTCAAGCTATGCTTGGAAAATCACTATACATAGAAAAAGAAAGAGAGATTTTGTAAGTATGTTCCTTCCTCACTGGATATGTGACGTCGTGCTAGAGTAATCTAAATTTAATAATTATCTACTTAATACAGATCAAATTTTTAATCAGTTTCAATAAATTACGAGATCGTCATTTCTTCTACGACACTGCGATTGTGTGTTCAAAATCATACGTTTATTAATTTCTATCAGTTAATTTAGAAGAAACTTAGCAGCTGTGAATATTTGATGGGGAAATAAAAATAAAAAAGAAACCTCATTGATGATTTGATAAATTATTTAATTACTAAAAAAAAATGAATATAATACAATACATGTATAAAATATATTCTGCAATATAGCCTGAATAAAGAGGGCGGTAAGAAGGCGTGAGGAAAGAAAGACACGACATATGATCAAGTACACGTCACTATGTGCTGATGGGAATTTGGCCAGGAATCGCATATATTAAAACGACCAGTAAGTGTTCATTTTTCGGACGCCTGGTGTTTCGGTAGGGAGCAGGGATGGGGAATATCAACCAAGACTGTGGAAATGGTTAGACGATTTGAAATAAAGAAGCCTTCCCCTTGTTCCGCCCAAACGATTTGAAATAAGGAAACTTTTTCTCCTGTTCCATCTCTCCTCCTACGGCAGGGTTCAATATCCGAATAATTCGAGGACTGCTAATAACCACAGAACAACCAGCAGCGTTATACTATGGCCACGACAGATCACTGATTGTTACAAAACTTACTTATATTACAAAACCAAAGTAAAAGAAAGAAAAATTAAAATATTACTTTAAAATAAACTAAAAATGTGATAAACATGGCAACTAATATACCCCTTAGGAAAAACATAAAACAAAAAATACAACCTTTCTGAAAACTAACATTGACAAGAGAAACTTTGTCACTCATGTGTTTGAGTAATCATCTTTTGCTCTTAATACAAAATCCATTACCTTAAAGGAAAAGGTGAAGAAAAAATATGAATGATTACATGTTCTGGACTGAAGACACGAATGCGATTGTAGTCATATGATTCTTTCTAAGAACTTTCTCGTATTGCGTTACAAATTCTATGATGACGTCTGTTTTTTTAAATCGCTTATTTTTCTTTTCGATCTGCTTTTATAATGTGGGTAATGATTTTGAAACTTTTTTCTTGTTTTGCTGCTATGTTAGGAATGTACTGATATCTATCATTTAATGTACAAACGGATCTAGACAAGTGGTAGAACGAATATAAAAATACGAGTCTTATCGCTGTCTTGCTTGGTTAAAAAGAAATAAAAAATGAAAATAGTTGAACTTGTATTGTCTCTTTCCGCTTCTCAGATTGCTTCGTCATTTACAACGTGACATGTTATGTTCACGTTCTTAACTAACGATCAAACAAACACCATTAAAAATAGATAAATAAATAAATAAAGCCGGAAAAGTTATACTTTTTAGCTCATTATAGTTTGCCTTTGTATTAGGTCAGAAGGTGAGACGGTTGGCTTGTCAACAGCTGATGTTTATAAAAATATAAAATTTAAAAAGTAATTAGATGCAGGTTGTCAAAATGTAATTTGAAAAATATTTGTAAAGATGATTGGATTGTGCTTTTCTCTCTTGAAACAATATACTCTCTCTTTCTTACTTTTCACCCACTTTTTACCGCCTCTCTCTCTCTCTCTTTCTCTCTCTCTCTCTTTCTCTCTCTCTCTCTCTCTCTCTGGGCAGATAATATAAATGTCAGATTGGATGAAAATATAGATATGTAACGTAAATTAAAACCTATCTCTACAAAGATATCTACCTAAAAAAAAGATTATATGATAAACATATATATTGTAGTGATATTGAAATAAGCTTTGCCTCATTTTCATATGAGCGTATAGAGTTGTATGTATAGTTTTTCTACTACTGGGGAAGGAGTCATTTAAGTAGAACACTATGATTAATTTTTTTTTTACGGCTTGTCAATCTTTTATATCTGTCTATATTTCTGAGATGGGCTATTGTAATTATTTACATTATTTACATTGTTCGGCCTATTGTCCTCATCTTTATTGCCTCAAGGACACATGGTCCAGCGGATAAAACTGTTGGTTGGATCCAGTGGTTTGACCCAAAGAGTTGTGAGTTCAATACCTGGCTACTGCAGTGGTGAACAAAAACTTAGAGAGTTGAATTAAAGGGAGATAACTATGACGTCCGGAAAAGACATGGCCCGTGGAACTAGAACAATATACCTCGGTTTACGAAATAAAGGGTCCAGTTCGAAATTCCAATCAACTGAAGAAAGCCGAGGCATACAACGGCCGAAATGTCGTGAATATGACAATAAATATGAGGACAACAGTCCGAACAATGTAAATAATTATCAACATTATGTAGATTATTTAAAAGGCAGAAAATTTTTTTTAAAATTTAAGATAATAATGATTCCTCCTACTAATTAACCTATAGCTGGTGTGAAAAGAGATGGATTCATACCTTTTCTTTTTCGTATTTGCACGTAAGTGAATATAACAAACCTGACTGGGATTAGAACTTAGCTCTCCGATTTTCCCATTTTGAACCATTATCCATTACAGCACCTGCGCATTCAAACTTACTGCACCAGGTATTCCTAAGTGGCCATCTATCTCGGTACTGAACAAGCTCGACGTTGCTTAAAGTCGGTGATCGTACCAGAACTGCTGTTTCAACGTGATATGGCCGTAAGCCAGTAGTAAACCCTGAATCGTAAACTTAACAACAGATATACAAGATAAATTACATAGATATTGATTATATAAATAAGAGACACGGAAATATAAATGATATATATAAATTCTATCTGCCTTTTCTGTCACACTATCTCTCACCACTCTCTATATCACCTTACATCAACTTAATACTACTCCTCAAAAATGTAAAAAATTATATGTAAATTTAAATTCATTTTTTCATCCTTGGTCTGATGAGCCAAGGAAAAAGAAACCCCCCTGGGGAAATAAATTATAACCATGGACCCTTAAAGTTGTCTGTTTTCTTTAAATTAAATTAATCGCTCTAATTTAACATTGAGCTCTCTGGATTTCATCCTCCTTGGGATTATCCATACGGATTACCAAGATTTTCATTACTTAAATATATATATGTGTGTGTGTGTCTGTGTGCGTGCGTGTGTGTGTGTATGTATAAACAAGGAAATGCCTTAAAGTTCTGAAACAGACCTACTGCGCAAAATCTGACTAAATGATAAAAAATCATTCATTTTTGGAATCTCTTTTTGTCAGGGTGAGAACTTTCACCACCCTCTCGTATCTTTCTCTGTTTCTGTCTTTCTCCCCTCTCTCTCTCCCCCCTCTCTCTCTCTCTCTCTGTCTGTCTGTCTGTTTGTTTAGCTCTCTCTCTCTCTCTCTCTCTCTCTTTCTATATATATATATATATATATAGGAGGCACGGGGGAGTAATGGATAGCGGCTTGGATTGAGGAATAGGAGAGCCGAGTTAAGTGCTAATATCTTTGGGAAAGGTGTGAATCCTCTTCTTTTCCCTCCAGCTATGGGTAAATAGCAGGACAGACTGGGTTCTATAGCCTTGGATGGCAACTGGTCTAGAAGGACAACTCTGAATTCAAAACCTGCGGAGGGTCGTTTGGGGACCTTGTGGCACTTAGTGCACCGGTCTCTGTATTCTGCCCTTCAAAAAGTGTGAATGGTCCTGCACGAAACCTTCACCACTATAATCAAATCTCATGTGCTGTTGTCGGTTTCCTGGGAACTGATCTGCTTGATCCTCATACGTCGAATACGGCGGAAGAGTCGACGATATATATATAGAGTGTAACCCGGATATAAGAGAGTTGTCCGGACCGGAGAAGAAGTCTCTTATATCCGGGTTTCTCTTATATCCGGGTTTGGTCTAATTTATATACATTAACACAGGCTATAATTTGGGACCAGAGAAAGTCTCTCTTATATCCGGGTTTCTCTTATATCCGGTTACACTGTATATATATATATATATATATATATATATATATATATATTAATAATATATATATAATTATAATATATGGCACATAAACAAAAACACAGCAGGCGCAACATTATATGGTTTAATCCATCTTTCAATTGTAATATTCAAACGAATATCGGAAGATTTTTCCTAAATTTAATTCGTAAGCACTTTAATCATTCATCAACACTAAAAAAGATTTTTTAACAAAAATAATGTTAAGATAGGCTATAGCGGCGTTAATAACATCGATAAATCTATATCCCAACAAAACAATATTATATTAAATATATTTCCAACAAAGACAACGTTATTTTTTAATAAATGCAGCTGCTGAAAAAATATGATCTGTCTCTTAAACGGTCAATGTATAACTAATAACATTGTATACCGAGCTAATATACATTCCGGTCGACTGTCGAAAATACTTGTACAAAACAACAACACAACATGAACTAAACGCAGTTTATCAACAATTTCGATCACAATACTGATCAACTTATTTAAAAATTAGAAAGATGCAATAAAAATTAAACAAACATACCATGTCAGTTCTTTTTAATAAAATGTGATCATATATATTATATATATGATCACAGTTAAGATGAAAAAAATGCATTAATTTCTGTTAGAATAAGAATTAATTAAGTTTATTACTATTTTTAATAAAATGTATCTTTACACATAAAATTTGTTTTAGTTAAGGCTTTTACATTTATAAAAAATACAATTTTTCATGTGTACGAATATTTATTTCCCCCACTGTGTATATATATATATATATATATATATATATATATATATATATATATATATATATATATATATAAAGTGAACATAGAAGTCAACACTTAGAGGCGACAGTCTGTTTCATGCTATATGCAATCATCAGGCCACGTGTGCTGTTATTTTTCTCGGCTATTTATACATATACGGGTCAGTGGTGCATTGTGGGTAGTCTATTATGGCGGTTATTTTAGCGGAAGTCGTTTATTTATTTATTTGGGTTAAATTATTTTGTTTTTTTTTTATTTAATTTTATTTTTTGTTTCTTATCTTATTTATTTATTTACTTATTTTTTAATCGGTGTTTTTTTATTAACGTAGTAAAAAAACTTTCCGTAAGCAGTTTAGCAAACAATTTGCTTCTCGCGAAGTCAAATTTAATTCGCAGAAGTATTGTTTACCAGCCATGAGAGCATGAGTGCGCCATTCACACCGATAAAGGCGTCCATCTCGCTCGTCTCACAAATTAACCAGAACTATCCTCTTCGCCTGGTCGTTTGTTTAGCCAGTGTGAGTAATGAGACAGTGTCCCGTGTACATAATCGGACCAAACACTAAACATACGACATACCCTAACTAGAAAGAAACACAAAGCAACACTCTAAACTTATGTATCTTCTCATTGTCACTAATTAACTAAGATACTGAAAACGAAATAACCATCACCATCCACAATAATAATGGATATTGCTACCTCAATAAATATATATATAGAGAGAGAGAAATAGATATAGATGGTCTCAAGATTTTGTTCAAGCATGAAACAGACTGTCGCCTCTCCCTATTGACCTCAGTGTCTAATTTATATATTTAAATACGCTCTATCCATGATATTGAGTACTTTTACCACATATATAGCATACAATAAAGCTATATTTTTATCATATATATAGTCATCTATAGACAGACTGTTTCGATGTATCACAGCTCATCAGATTGCCTCTAGCTAGGATCGAAACCCTGCTGAATTGGCGTCAGTCGGATAATCTACCTCTAAGCCGTTAGCGCACGGCATGGCTGAAGGTGAATTTAAGCGTATTTATTTATAAATAAACACGCCAGTGATAAATGATAAATACATAGGCATATAATGTAAATCACATATTCTCTCCTTCGAGACATTGACACAAAACTGGCGAAACTGTTTATTGCTATACTGACATGACAGTATCTTACCAGACATGACGATGGTTTAATCAATCTGTAATGATAAAATCACATTTATGTAACTCAATGGTGATTGAACTTATTTGTTTATATATATATATATATATATATATATATATATATATATATATATATATATATATATATATATATATGTGTGTGTGTGTTATCTAATAATGTGGAAACTGGTATTCAAAATGTAATTTATATTATAATAAATAAATATTATACTTTTTAATTTGTCTGATTAAAAAAGAATCCGTAAATTTTAGATACATATATACATATCTAATTTTATAGTAAAATAAGTATCAAAAGTTATCAAGTTTAGAGTTTTTTTTTCCTTCGGCTTCAAACCAAAGATATTTAGTGTCACTTCCCAAAAACGAACGTTCTGGATCATAGAAGTTGCTGGATCACCTGTTGACGGATTAGAGAGTACAACCTGTACATACTTTTGGATTATAAGTGAGTTTACATACAAGAAACAGTTTCTGATATTTTCTACTTGTTATTTTAAAACTACACGAAAATGAAGATCACTGGCCATTCAAAATACAGTTTAAAATTAACTTACAGGTATTTATCTGATATTATTTGTGATATTTTGTCTAGGGCACATATAAATTGGAAAGGTGTAAGATTTTATCTCAGTCTCAAGTAATTTCTATCTGAATTTCTGGGGTGAGGAGTTATCATTATTTGCATTATTTATATGCAGGTTATTGTCTTTGACTTTGTTGCCGTCCTTACACTGTTCATGAGGGAAAGGATTCTCCACAACCGCTGACGGAAACATCAGCTGGAATATGAACTCTCCGAATAGACTATGACATTAGGAAAATAATGCTTAAATCAAACAAATGCATAATCCAACATCACCTGGATAAGTTCTACAATCAAAAATTCCAAAGAGCCATGGTTAACCAAATACGGAAATTAGTACAGACGAAAGAAAAGAGTCGAAGCAGCAACGAGGCCCACCAAGATTTGCATAGAGCAGACGTCAATATCAGCAATCGGCAGTTGAGCGCCTCTGAAGAATTGGTGCTAGACAAGGGTCTCAATCATCATGTGGGTTCCTTACTTAGATATATTAGTTCCAGTGGAGGAGGTTGTCTTGAAGATCCCGAAGGCTCAACCAGATGGAAAATGAGATAAGCACTATAAAAAGGCAAATCGCCTAATTCACAATGGAAAAAAACATGTTCAGTCCATGGTATTCTTAGCATCCTTCTGCAGAACTATACTTCTGTTGCTTCGAGTATCTTCTTCATCTTTGAGAAAACCGTCCAACATTTGCTGTCGTAAAGGAAGACAGATATCACGTAGCAGTTCAGTACTCTTTCCTTTGTTGCCAACGAAATCCTCCTGTCTCGTAATACTCTGTCTAGCTTTTGGAAAGCATCTTTGGCCATCCCAATACGTCTTTGGATCTCAGCGTCGCACTTACCGTCCTCTGTCAGAACACTTCCCAGCTATTTAAATTTCCGCACCTACTTGATTTTAGTGTCCCAGACCTGTAAATCGCATTTCGGGCTCACCTTTTTGCTGATGACTATGCATTCTGTCTCCTTGTAGTTTATGCTTAGTCACTTCTTCTCGCTCTCCTTTGCTACCTTTTGTATGAGGTTTTGTAGTTTCCTTCCCGTGTCTGCTATCAGCACTATGTCTTATGTTGTTAAGATTGTGGATGCTAATGATTAATCCTGGTAGGATTTTCAGTTCTCTCAGAATTGCCTCGCTGTATAGGTTGAATAAATCCAGTGAGAAGATGCATCCTTGCCTTACGTCCCTTTCTATTTTTATATATCCGCTGAATTCATTTTCTATTCGACTGCAGGCCGTTTGCTACCAGTATAGGCTCTTGATTATTCTAATATCTTTCGTAAATATATAAGTTACTGAGCAGTTCCAACAGATCTTTGTGACGTACTTTGTCGAACGCCTTTGCATAGTTTATAAAACACAGGCGAACGTGCTTCTGCATTTGTATTGCTCTTTCTGATAGTATTCTGAGCATAACTATTGCGTTCCTTGTTCCGATGTCTTTAACGAACTCGCGCTGTTCTTGTCCTATTCTGGCCTGCTTCTGCTGCGCGCTACCGTACAAAAATCATAAGTGGCGACTCAGGCACATACCAACGGGAAATGATCAGCATCAAGCGTACCCTTCAAAATAACAATTACCTTGCAAATATAACAGGTAGAAATAGATGGGTAAAAAAGAATAACAGAAAATTGCCACGGTTTGTCTGCTTTACATCAAAAGCTTATTTTGAAGCTCTGCGGTCAATACAACACCAGGACTATATTTAGAATCACGTCCACTCTACGGAGAAATCTCTGTCGAGTCAAGTCTAACTCGGGGGATAACATGACTAAGATCTGTGTGTACTGCATTCCTTGCAATTGTGGCACAAAGAATAGGCTATAAGGATCTCCTTAGTGGCCCTAGCATAGAAATAAATACGATCTGGGAGACGTTAATAAATAAAAAACAAAACAAAACGACAGCGGGTATTCGACAACAATAGCAGCTGTAACAAAAAGAAAAGCTTCTGCGAGTACAGTCAAACATGACAGTGAAAAGCAACTGCACCACTCATCAGCAGGAAGGATAGGTTTAAGATTCCAATTTTTTCACATAGAAATTGTGCCAATTTCTAGTTCTGGGGGAATGAAGGAAAAATGCTCCTTTTATTCCCCCACACCCACTCGGGTTCTGTGGGAGTCAGACGCAAAGTCATCAACATTGACTAAGAAAAACAACGCTTTTCACATAAAATAGGAAGAGAGCAGACGCATCAAGAAAGTTCAATTCAACAAGTAATTCCCACAAGAATTTCGTACGATTATTTTCACAGAGGCACTAGCTTTTTGCTTTTTTTTTTTCAGGCACATTATCCGCTTTCTATTTTCTCAGGTACAATATTCTCTTTCACCGAATAAATTCTAGTTGTTTGTTAAACTTTGTTTAGCTCTTTCTTCGTTTATTTCAGTGATAAAACCAAGCTTACCCTGTTCGTTTTGACCCTTCTTTTCTTCCGTCTTAGTTTATGTTTCTGTCTGTCTGTCTGTCTGTCTGTCTGTCTGTCTGTCTCTCCCCTTAATTCATCAGTTTGAAAACAATTTATTCATATTGATAAAGACAGAAACACATTTAAATACATGGACGTTTATCATTTTTTGTCTCGATTTCAAGTATAGAAAATTAGCTTCTCGGGATTTATTAAGTTAATTTTAGTGTGACGCAAGTTTGCTATTATAGCGCAGATACTGAAGATCGAAATCGCTTAACTAGATGTACGAAATTAGCTTGCTGACCTTTTTTGCACAGAATGGCATGGAAGATAAACTTTTACTATGCTGGGCTTGTTATTTTACACAAGAAATTAAAACGTTGCGCTACCATCGTCAATGATTGATTTCTTTGGCACAGATTTGAATTAAAACTGATTCATGCTCTTGATAGCACGACAAATTAATTATAAAAATAAAAGATTCTTTTCTAACTTTTTCATTTAAAATAGCGCTTCTTTTTAGAGTAATCTGCTTAGGTTTTCCATTTCATGAAAGATTAACCTTTCATTATAAAAATAATAAAACTATTTAAAAATCGCAACTCACAAAATATTTTTTAATAAATACATGATACAACTTTTACTTGAAATAAAACACCCAAATAATTTCCTTTGTAGTAATATTTAAAATTTAATAATTAAAATATCTAGCATCTAAAAATTTCGAATGCATTTCAAAAACCCAAACCAAAATGGGTCAATATGCATATACAGACAAACCTCTCATCTACAGACCCCCCCCCTTACCACCAACCATCAACGGACTTCCGATGCAACGGACAAAATCTGCAGGCAAAATAAAATAAAAAAATCTGCAGGAAAAAAAAACTTCCAAGTCATCAGCGATGTATTTCAAAATTTGTGGGCTTAGCGAAACGAGTCGTATTAGTTCTCAAAGTGACCGCTTGACGGCATTTCAAACGTGTACTGTATACAAAGTACAATACATTAGCGCGTACGTGCAAAAATAGCTGTGAGAAAGAAATCTATTATTTTTGTTATTTTGATTAATATATCTATATTATTATTAAGTATATATTTATTTATGTCATATATACATGTTTATAGTATTTACATTATGATCATAACTACTGGTAGTTACAATAGTGGTTTTATAACTAAAAAATAAACCCATCTAGGGAAAATCGGCTTTAATGGACCACCCATCCCCCCTGTTAGTCCGTTGATGAGAGGTTTGTTTGTATATCAAAACATCATTTTTCCGTGGAAAACAAATAAATACGACTTTGCAACAGGTTGTGGTCAGGCAACACAAAAATGCCAATTAGTTTGCACAAATCGATGCCAAGCGACTAGTTCAGCCGGAAAAGGAAAACGAAGCGGCTGGGGATCAAAATACCTGCTGACAACTGAAACTACATATCTGCTTCTTATACTTTTTAACTTAACTTTCGATTGTAAACTGTGAATAATGACATATTTTTATTAAATGCATGAACTTTTCCTATACCAAATACACGTAACTTTCTACGAACATTTCAAATAAGATAATTTACTATTAAAATACATTAACAGAAGATCAATTAATATATACTTTTACATACAAATTTTCCCACAATTACTGGAAATGTATTTATTATATTAACACTAACGGTGACTATGACTACCAACGCCGCTATAGTTCTATTTTTTTTTCAGTGACATGAATTTTTAGGTTGCAATTTGCATGTAGTAAAGAAAGAAAGTTGTAACAAAATTTTAATTTTTTCTTTAAAGCTTCTAAACTATGTTTATTTTTAGAAAAGGAAAATATCTTTTTAAATATTCTTTACTTCTTGATTTATCAACATATTGTAGAAAAAGCCGATAATTGCAATCCAAAATCGCCTTGGCACAACTACATTGACGTGTCTATCAACGAAACGCACACGAAGGCAGAATAATAGAATAAAAGAATAAACAATATGTAATCATTCAACGGAATTCCATTAATCTGATTCAGTTAAAAACGATCAAGAAACATTTGCAATGGAATAATACAATAAACGAACACGAATGGTCATTCCGTAGCTTCTGCTAGTCTAGCAGTAGCTATCCCATAGGCCACCATTCTATATGGCTGACTCGGGTCGTCTGTACATGCACCCTTTTTGTTGTGGTGCTTCTCCTTTTGCAAGTCATAGCTCGGCCTCAGTGTATAGATCCAACTTCGTATCATCTTCAGACACTGTGTTCCTTCCTGCAACTGCTTCTTATTCAGTTCTGGGAGGGACTGCCTGGAACTACCATTTACGGTGGTGCCATTTCTTGGGTAGGTGGTGCTAAAAACAAAAACCGAAATACTATCGTTTGTTAGTGGTTGTTTTTCTCTTTCTCTCTCTAGAGAGAGGAAGAAGGAAAACACTAAAATATAACCTTACACAAACGTTAAAAAATACTAACACATGTGTATATAAATATATATGTGTTAGAATGACGCTCATAGCTGCTGTTAGTAGATTTGTTCGGAGGTATGCTTTTAGTCCGGAGATTTTGGTTCTTTGCGTGCTTCTCTTCCTCCTGTACAATTCAGGTCGGCTCCATGTAGAACCACTTCGTAAATACTTAGAAAAAGCTCGCATCAAGCTGCAGTTGAGGTGGGCTGGACAATACGACCAAATTCCCGAGGAGAGTGAGAAGGAAGTCACGGAAAAGAAAAGTAAGGCTTCCTGGGAACTCCGAAAGGGAAATGTCGCCATCTACGCAATTCAGGGGCGCCGACCCCACATGGAGGATCGCTACAATTTTGTAAACAATCTTGATGAGACACGGACCTCCATCTACGGTATTTTTGATGGACACGGAGGAGAGGTAAGAATATCTAGAAAAAGAAATTTGTATATATTTTTTTTATTTATTTTAGCTGTTTATTTTTTTCCGTTGTCAAAAAAAAGAGAAAAAACATAAAAGGTTATAGTTTGTTTTTGTCTAGTTTGTTTTTCCTCTACCTGGTCAACAAAAGTAACTATAGCTTCGAAAGATAAACTAAACACCTTTTTATGTTGACATACTCATGGTATTTTAGGGCTCAAGTGACCAAACACACTTTAACAAAAAAAATGGACAAAATAAAATTAAAACAAGCTCTTCCTTCCTTTTTAGATTGAGAAGTACCTGTTTATTTAATTTTCCTGATCCAATGTGAAGATTTTGTATATTTTTTCTTTTCCTCTTTCATCACTGCTGAACCTTGGGGATGATAAACAAGATAAATTTTTAATAATTTTATCATAAAATTTTTATGATTATATTATCATTTTAATGATATCGTAAAAGTCAGATTTTTTTTTTTTTTTCAAATCTCGCTTTTTCTCTCTTTTTTTTTTTTTTTTTTTTTTCTCAATAAAATTCGATTTCTTCACGCAATAAATAAGTAACCTTTTTTTTCTTTTTTAAAAAAGCTACCGATTATTTTTTTTACATGTCTTTTTTTCTGAATTAACCTAGTGAATAAAGTAATAAACGTTTGTTTTGTTTTTTTTTTTTTTTTTTTTTAGTAAACGTAATGATCGGGTAAATTCAATAACAAATATAAAAGTATTATTATTATTGCACAGAATTTCTTTATTGAAAAAAAAATCAAATAATTCTTTTTGGACAATATAATGGACATTCTTCCTGGTTCGTGTTACTGTTTTAGGATTTATTAAAATTCCGCACCACGTGTCTAGAAAGAAAAGAAAATTAAATAATTTTTAAGATTTTACCTGCAACTGCGTAAATTTAGGAGTTTTTTTTGTGTTTTGTTTTTTTTTTTTTTTTTTAGCCTTAAAATTAAGAGATAAGTAAGTCAAGTGTAACTTTTTGGAGTTAGCACAGAATTTTTTATTTTTGCTTCCTCCAGAATTAACTGTTTATGACCAATTTGAATTAAGTATTTTTAAAATCCTTCTTAAAACGTGTACTTTAAACGTCTTGCTTGTCAAAAATCAAAATTAACTGAAAACTTTAAAAAAAAACAGAGCAAACCAAACCCGAAGAATCGTTTTTTTATGTAAACTAATTTCAGTTAAAAATAAAATATTGATCGCAATATATTTTTATTTTTTCACTTGCTTCGTAAACATGACCGAATTAACTTATTGGAAGAACCGTGACCGAAAATCACTAATGCCTGACATTTTTGTAATTAGTAATATATTTAATTTTACTTCAAATTTAACACTGGAAGTTCATTCGTTCAACAATGAAAAACTGAACAGAAACGATTATTCTAAATTAATCTAAATAATAAAAAAGTGTGAATACGTGGTGGATGGTGGTAAAAATTTTGAATGAGAAGATTGAATGAATGAAACTGCTTTCTTTACAGACAGAAAGTCAACTTGAAATCAAATCTTACAAAAAATAGAAAGAAAATGAATTTAGCTCAGTTTTCTTTCCATAAAATAAAACTTAAAATTTTCTTAATTTCTTAAAATTTGCTTTTCCTTCGAATAAATAACCGGACCCAATTCTAAATAAAGAATCTTCCTTGGCAACCAAGCACCAAAAAGCTGCAAGAATTTGTGATACAAAAAACTAAAAGTATGGCGGATTTTAGAAGCAGAAAAATGTGACCTTTTTGTTAGTTCTAACGAACCCTTTTAGCTTTGTAAGTTTTAAATTCATCGTGTCTGCTCTGCATCTGTCAAATCACAAATATTTTCTTGGTTTGATAGTGAGTAAAAAGATGAAAAGAAAATCAACTTTAAGAACAAAAAAGAAGCAATGTAAAAAAAAAAACTCATCAAGTATTCAAGGAGTTGGTTACAGAACTGATTCAGTAACTTAAAAAATGAACTGAAGTCTCTTCCAAAATAAATGTTTCACAAAAGCGCAAGGTAGTCGTTTTCATTTTTTAAAACAAGTTTTTTCTTACGGTTTACTTAAAATACGACAGAAAAATAACAAAAAAGAAACTTTTAAAAAGCTCAAGAGTAAAGAAGTTGTAAAAGAAAAATTCTTCCTATAACAAGTGAAGGATAAATGGTTTTTGGTAGTTATCTGCTAAAAATACGAGGTTTATATCCGACTCAGCAGTGATACAATTCACTTTGCAGTCTTTGCTGCAAAGAGGTCCTTTGTGAAAAATGTTTAGTTTTAAAAGTCGTCCATGGCTAATTTTGAAAACAATATAGCTTCTTAGGTAATCTCCATTGATTTTTAAATTATATAAACAAAAATGTAAGTGCACTATTTAGTTTGTAAAAAGTAAAAACTGTAAGCCCAGGTCGTGGCTCAGCTCGTAAAGACGACTATAAAAAGTAACAGAAGGGAAAATATGAAAGATAGAGAAATTCAATAAATATTAAATTCTATTTTGACAATTATTGTTATTCCGAAACTGAAAGTAGATGCAGTTGTAAAGGCGACAAAAGAACTGCTTTCTTCACCAACGAACTAATGAATTCATCTTTCCCTATGCTTGTCGAATGAAACGAAATGTCTAAGGCTGAAACTTAGTATTTGATAAAAAAATAAATTATTTTTCTTTCTCAAATTGTCATTTAGATTTTCATTGCTTTTTTTGTGCCTTTATTTCTCACGTTATGAAACAAATTAGTTTGTTTTCCATTCAAAAATGTGCAAAAAATAATAATAAAACTACTTTTTGTTAGATTTCTTTTAAAACAAAAAGTAGTTTCTTTTTTTAAAACTAAAAGGCTGTCCATTTCCAAACCAAAATGGATCTGAAAATAAAGGTGACAAAAGAACTGCCTTGTTTGCCAACGAAAAGATCTTTTCGTTGGCAAAGGTAAGGATTGCTTTGCTCATCAAGTTTTATTTTTATTTTTAAGATTTGAAGAAAGTGAAAAAAAGGCACTTTTATGGTGATTCGATCGAAAATAGTATAACTTTTTTAGTTGATTGATTACGTTGTAATTAGATTCATTACGATATAATTGTAGTTAATAAAATAAAAATAATTAAGAAAATTTTAACAAAAATGAAGGAACCACCTTTTTTTTTTTTTTTCACAAGTCATACTTAGAAAAGTGTTCTTACTGTTAGTGTTGTGTTTTGTTTGTTTTATAGTCGAAGAAAAACTTTTCGATTTGAGAAAATATTTTTTAAATCAGTATTTATTTTAATTTTTCATCCTTTCGCCAAAACGATTGACGCAACAATAACATGTTTATACAAGTCAGAAAGAACATAATCTATTGATTGAATTTTGAATTGTTTTGTAAACAGAAACTAAACTATCATTATTCAATAAGAAAAAAGACAATGTATTCTTTTTTTTCTTTTGTTCGAAAACTTCCCTTTTTAGTTTTCTTGATGTGAAAATGCTCGATAAAAGAAAACCGAAAAAATGTATGAAACAATAAATATTCAAATGACTGTTTTAATTTAGAGACAATTCTTTTTTTCTTTGCAAAATCTCGATACGGAACTTTTTTCTTATTTTACTACTGTTATGGAAAGATATTGATATGCGAAAATACTAGATTCCTAATAATAAAAAAAACTGCAAGTACAACAGGCAATTGTAAACCATGCGTATTTTATTTTATTTTTGTTATTTTCATTGAGACTGACTTGAAGATTTTTGCAGTTTTTAGTTTTAAAGGATTGAAAAATCTTTATCAATCTCTGCAAACTTTGAAATAAGTAAGAAGTACTTTACGTGTGTACGTGTAAAAACTGCAATGAGTTAAATTTGAAAACGTTTAAAAAAAATGAGTAGCAGCAACTAAAAAGGCAGCTGACTTTATTGAAATACTCTTCGCAGATTAAATAATTGAACGTTAACTTATTTTTTATTATTGTTTTTTGTGTGGGTGTTATTTGCATTAGCCTTGTCCTTGTTTGTCACTTCGTTGTCGCAAACACTTGATCAAGTGTTCCTTACTGTTGTTCACTGTTCAAGCAAGCAAACATGTAACGATTTTCGTTTACCATCAAGTGGGTAATTCTATGCTTTGTCCACTATTTCGAATAAACAAATTCAACTTCGGCAATATTTTGTTTCTAATATACAAGCAACAAAAAATCTACTTTGTAAAGAAACACTAAAAAAAAAAAACTCATTTTCATAAATCTTTCCAAACCAGTGACGGTTGTTTTGTAACACACAAAAAAACATGTTTTTAGTTTTCCTTTTTTTACCCATAAGAATAAGATAATTTAAAAATGTAAAAATAACATCCTCTCAAAGGACAGCTGAAGTGTATGACAAGAAACTTACTGTTTACCAACATACACCGTCACAACAAACTGATCTATTCAACATGTTCAGTTCACTTCACACGAAGTACAAATAATAAATTTTATTTAAAACTGAAACAGGTTAAGTCGAAAAATCTGCTATAATACACATATACCTTGGATTTGTGTGTCATATTTGGGAGTTAAAAAAGAGATAAAAGAAGTAGGTATCTCATGACTAGCATGAGATGAAATCTGCTGCTGTTTTGTGCTGTTTGTCCTTGGGGACTTCTGCACCAGATTTAAGGAGCAAAAAGAAAAGATAATAAATAACAATACTTATTTTATTTACGTAAGCTTTGCTTTTTAACAGATGGTATCTAACAGTGACTAGAAAACTGTTAAAAGACTTCAGCATCTTGACTCCCATATTTTCTTTTAAAAAGTGATCAATAATTTCCTATTGTTAAAAAAATAAAATCAATAATATTAATTGTGAATTGCTTTATTTATTTTTTTTTTTGACTTTTATTCATAAATCAATTTCAGTCCTCAAATAAATCCGCATTAAGTTTTTTTTTTTTTTTTTTTTTTTTTTTTTTCAGACTATTTTAAAATGATTTGAAATTGTTCCATGCATATTAATTTTTTCAATCATTTGATAAAAAATTAAACAG